TTTGCCGTCTCATTGACTCATAAAAGATAGAAGTTGGTTTCCCCTGTCCTGTCTCCTTTGGGCTAAGATGAACTGTCGATAAGATAAGTAGTCTTCCACTTTAACAAAGTGGTCACTAAATAGCTTGGTGCTGCCTTCAGACTGTACTTTTTGATTTTGTCTTCAAATGAGTTTGGAAAACAAAATCTTGAAGACGAGATGTAAACTGTTTTCCTTGAAAACTTATTTCATATTTCATGGCCTTTCCTCTTGTTGTTCAGTGTATTTGCACTTTACTATGAAGGACAAGGTGTAATGAGGAGACTACAAGTCAGACTCTGAAAAGTGTAGGTATCAGATGCCTGTTTATTTCCACTGTTCAGAATTCAAGATTCCATATTTAGTGCAAGAGGAAGAGAACTTGCGAGGTCCAGAAGAGCTGCTATCCAGGTGGAAATGCTTGGCAGAGGTCTGTGTCCAAATGGTAGCTCTTCAAACTTGGAAGTCCAGACACATCTTGTGGTGCATTGTTCAAAGCCAGTTTCTTTCCAATAGAGAAGTGAATAGGACTCAAGTATCAGTAATAACTGAGAGGTACTTCTTGTACCAACAGTACGTAATGATTAGAGCAGTCATCTGGGATATAAGATTTGAGTTCATGCCCCTCTGCATCTCAAAATTTGTCTTTTCAAGGCATTTGTCTACTTTACAGGAAATAATTTTTGGATATAAGCAAAAATATTAGTGATGGTTGTTTTATATATTAACGGCAAAATGAAATCGCCGGTCTGAAACCTAATTGATCATTTGGCAGGAAGGATTGCTGCTTTTTAGATTCTGGTGCTTTTCCTGAACATCTGCTGCAGCATAATACAGCTATTAGCTTTGTAAGCAATCTGTTGCCATCAGATTATCGCACATGGTTTATATCCACTGAGATCTCAAAATTGGCTATTGCAGCTTCAGAGGTTTGCTTGATGAAAAGCTACTTATTGCTGGCATCTGTATGATGAACTATTGCTAGTGGCTGAGAAATTGTATGATCTTCTTATGTTTAACGATGACACCATGGTGATTATGCTGATGTGCATCTTTCATGATCTGCACAAATCATCTCCTATCTGAATAATCATCTTCTGAAAGCAGAGGCAAGCAGTTACAATCCTCTTTTTAGACATGCTCTTTTTAATTTGTGCAGTTCATCCAATATACAAAGCAGTAATATTAATTGAGTTTATTCTCTGGAGTCAAGTAGCAAGCCAGGTTCTTTTTCAAGCCTATTTTTCTATGCAAATCCATCTTTTAAAGTACAGATATTACCAAACAAATACTTGCATAAACTTGTCTGGAATTGTTGAGTGGAAGCATTCATCATATGAATGTTTCTTCCTTTTGGCTTAAACTCAGCCATAGATCGTTTCTTCTCTCTAGTGAAATAATCACACTAAGAAGGCAACGATTTAAATGTTGAAGGTTATCACTGTCCTTAAACTTTCCAACAGAAAAAGCTAGTAGGAAGCTAGTAGGTCAAATGGAGCCTTAATTTCCACCTGGCTTAGTTTCACTGAAACTGAACACAGTAGAAACAATGGAGGTGTAAGCAGTCTCCAAGGATTCTAATGAGTAGTGTATGGGAGTTTTCACAGGAATTAGGCTTCACCATCCTCTCTGTAACAAGCCTGGAGAATACATGAATAATGAGGTGTCACTAGTAGTATTACTGGAGAAATCTTAATCCTTGTTGGATTTCATGAAACTATTCTCCATGTGAAGATAGACTGAATTCTTCCATGTTGCTCAGTTACTCAGAATCACTGGATCTCAGAAGTGGCTTTGCAGCTAAAGAGGTTTAGCTCTGCATATTTGGTTTGTCAGGAGTAGGACACCAACTCATTACTAAGCCCCTTAATAAAAGGTATTATGTATGTTAGAATAAAGAACATGTTGAACTTGATTTCAGGAGCGTTTTTATGTGCTAATGTATGTAATGGAGAAGCTCTTGAGGGAGTACAGAAACCACCACAGCACTGGCAAATGCAGCACCAAGAGTCCGTGCAGTCATGAGGACCAAAAATCAAAGTTGGAAATGGTGTAGCCTAGTGCCATATTCCAAGCTATGTGGATTACAGGGGCACAGCTGAGCAAATATTTCTCCAAACTGTGAATAACTGCTTGGACCGAAATGTCAATTTTAGTTTTGCACTGTTTGCAAACTGTTATTTCACATTTGTTTATATTATAGCCAGCAATGCTTGCAGAAATATCTGTAGAAGCAATATATTTTATGTTAGTATTTGTGGAAAGCAAATGCTTCATCTAAAATAGCTGAGAATGCTATTCTCAGCATTAATCTCATGAATTTATAAGAACTGGAATTCTGTGTCAATTAGCTGAGAACTGGAAAACCAAATGTTTTATAGGCCCATCTGTGGGCAGTTTGATTAGGAATTTAGGATGGAGAAAAAGTACTGGCCAACATTAATTCCTTACATGATTTTCTGACTGTAGCAAAAAGGAGGAAAATCACATAAGATGGATTTTCATTCTTAAAATGCTTTGCTATTTATATCCGTATCTGAAACAGTTTTACTTTTTTTCAAAGTCTCAGTGATCACAAATAATAAAACACCAACACTGTTAGCTTCTGAAAATGTATGCAGGGTTATACTTTTGTTAAAATTGACATTATTTCTATGTAGTTTGAGAACTAAATCATTTCTGCCAAAGAATCAATGACTTGACCATATGTTTTTGCCTGAAAAGGACTTTATAATTTGATTTATTCTGAAGCAAAATTGGGAAAGAAAAATAGTACTTTGTAAGTGAGCAGTATCAGTGTATAACTAGTATTTGTATCAAGGACTTTCATGCTCATAGCAAATGAATTAAGTGCAAGTTCTAATGTCAAAAAGATGAGCAGGGATTTGGTCTTGACCTTAATTCATATTTGAATTGAGGACTATAAAAAATGCTGTATGAATGAAATAATACAAAATATAAAACTGAGAAGGAAATTCCAGTGTAAAAACTCCTTTTCTCATCTTGGAATCCAGATGTTCCTTTTTGCTAGCCTTTGTATTTCATAGGCTTCCTCCAGATTGGTTTATGCTTGCTACCAAGATTTGGATCTTGTACCGACAGATGTGTGAAACAGTCCAGACTTTTGCCATTTGAAAAAAGATATATGCAAATAATTTGCAAACTAGAAATTCCCAGAAGAATGTATGCAAAGTTCTTATTTTCCCAAGGATATGTGCATGTAATTCATCTTTCTTAATTTGAACAACAGACATTATACATTAAAATCTGTGGATGCTGCCACAGGATATCTGGCAGGAAAATGACTGGAATTTGAAGCACTGAGCTCTTCTATTCTCAAACGTGAAATGCAATCAGAGATCTGTAAAGGATCACTTCAACTTTTCAAATATGTTAAGAAACCTGTTGTTTAAAATATTTTCTACAAGAACAACGGGGGGGGGGGGAGAGGAAGGAAAAAAAGCAGCTAATTTGCAAGGCAAAAAAAAAGCAGGCGTTCTTGAAGACTAAAGGGGTGTGTAATTCTCTGATCTTCCCAGTGCAGTCGTCTTTTTTCCTGTTGGCTGAGTTTTGAATGCCAAGTGTTATGAAAATCTGAATGCATGCGGTAAGGGTGATACTGAATTTATGAGCATTTTTCTTCTACTGGTTTTAAGATACTTCGTAAGATTGACCGACCCCAATTGGCCATTCTGTTGAAACGTGGATCAGTCAAGTATAGAGTCAGAAGAATTCATTACTTTTGACTCCTTATGTTCTTCTGCTGTGTCTTGTTCTCTCAATTCTTTGCATGCTTGAAAACATGCCTGCTACTAATGTTTAATTTACAAGATGTAAGCTTCTGATGTGCTGAGATACTTGACAAGAAGCTGTCTTAACTTACTTCTTCCTATTTTCTCTGTTTTAAAGACGCTTAAAACATAATGTTTAAGTCAGAAGAAATTCACTCATGTTTCTGACCAGCAAAAGTAATCTGAAAATAATCCACAGTTTATTTAGTCATGACACGAGCTGTGTATATTTGTCCCATCTCATCACATTCTGTCTGCCCACAGCTGATACATTCCAGTGAAAAGCAGCCATGCAAATTCTGCCCGGATTTAGTGTAAAGATTTTTTCTGGGGTTGATTTTTTTTCATCAACTTCATACAGCTCTACAATGTGTCAACTTGTTTTGAACCTACAAGTGAAAGATCTGATGGTTGGTTCCCTTCAGCAGGCTTTTGTGCATGTTTTTCTAAATGATGTTGCTCCCTTAACTGGGTCTGTGCTGCTTCACTTGCTGACTGAGCTGGCTGCTTATATCCAGTGAGCTGTTGGTTCCTTGTCTCGTTACCATGAACTTTGAGAACTGTCCTTTAGAATGCTCATATTATAGACACAGTCAGTCTGATACAGCTAGAACAACTTTCAGTAGTAAATATTTGAATATATGAATACTTTTAATGCGTTTAGATATTCTTACAGTATGTACTTACAGCATGCTGGTACTCATACTCTGAAGGAACGTAGTGGGTAGTGACCTACAATGTTTTTCTTGCTTGAAGGCAGCAGAGTTATATAATCGATTGAAGGCTGTGCCTTAACAACATGGATGCTGAAAGAAAGCAGTCCTGTCAGTAAGACTTTCATTTGCCCTCCTGTAATTATGTTCCTGAAAGGAGTTCACATGGGGAATTCAGTAGGTCTGCTAGGGTACTAAAAGGCTGCGAACTACCTCACAGAGGCTGAGAGCTACACTTAGCACAGAGACATTTGGGCTTCTAATTCTAGGTAGCTGCTGGTCTGCAGTGGGAGCCCAGGGCTGGCTTGTGGGGAGACCCTTGGCACAGGGTACTGGGCTCCCCTGGGAGGGCGGCCTCCCATTGCCAGGGTGGTCACTGCAGAACTGAGGTCCAGATGCCAGCAGGAAGCTTTGGCTGGAGCAGCACAGCAGGGCCTGTCAGATATAATGCTGGGAATAGTAGTGACAACGAGCACAGTTTTCATTTCAGCTTTTAATTGACTGCCATAAGTAAATTCTTGGTACATAAGACTTTTCTTTATATTCTTTATGTGCATATTTGTCAGATATTTTTTACTTAATTTTATACACAATATTGGAATAATCTGTTACATTAATGCACAGCTTAAAACAGGTCTTATTTACACTGACCACAGAAAGACAGAAGAATGAGGACAAATACTTAACATTCACCATCTTTATCAGCATTTTAAGTACAGTTAACCAGCACACATCACGCACATCCATATCCATATTTATAAGAAATGTAGGTATTTGTAGTTACACACAAGGGCATGTGTCTCCCTTTAAAAAAAAAAAAAAAAGTAGAATGCCATTTCCCCCAGATAATCAAAGATTTAAAAAAATAAACAAAAACCCACCATAAACAACAAAGGTGGGGGCAGGGGGGGGAAATGGACCTGCAGATTGCACTGAATCAGACATGGAAACATTATGGCTGTTAGGACACTTTTGGTCACTGGGGCACTTCGGAGAATATTTTTATGAGTGGCAAGTTCTGAAGTCCTGTGAGAATTTATTCCTAAAAACTGCAATGTAATCTCCTGCTTTGGAAGTAGATCTATTTGATACTCATTTAGTTTAATGTTATGTCTTCTAACAAAAAATGCAGCTAAAGGTTGCCTTTTTTGTTTGTTTGTTTTTTTGTTTTAAGAATATAAATTAAAAACTATATAAATTTCTCTTATGAAAGTAAGGCAACAGTGGAGAATATTGTGCTACAATGTGCATTAGCTGTAGATAATGTTTTTTTTATTCTTTTATCTCATGTTAACATTTATACTCAAAGACCAAGGTGCTGTTAAACTAGACTGCTTAATTACAAAACCTTATAATGGAGAGAGAGGTCCTGTGTGATAACCTTGTTACACTAATGTTGAATTTCTTGCCTTACAATTTATACTTATGTTTTATTAAAATTAAAAAAAAAAAAACACAAACAAAAACTTGTAAAAATATTAAAATATTTCCTATATAGAGGTACTCTTATCCAAGGTAAACTCTAGTCACTGCTATAAAATGCATTAAAAATTAAGAAAAAACATTGGTGCAAACCAAGTAAATGCTCACTATAAAGCTTTTATCTGTAAGGCAAATCTTCATTAGGCCTATTTGAAGTTATTTTCAAAATATACTATTTGGAGATACTCCCTCAACAACTAATATTACCCATGGCACAAACAAGTCCTGCAGATAGGTTCAGAGAGTGCAATGTAACTAATTACAAATACAGGTCACTCTGACTGTGACCAAGAAACAACATGAGACCTTTAAGAGAGCCAGCTTAAGGCTTAGTGATTTTCTTAGCTTGCTGAAATTATTCTGCTACCCTCATTAAAGAAATTAAGCAACTGTTGTCCAACATGGCATTAAAAAAAAAAAAAAAAAAACACTTTTAAAAAGGAGGAAAGCATAACACACAGGTGGCCCAATCTTCCTGTCAGTGCTTAAGCACAGAAATGCCTGCTGCCCTCAACATACAACTGGCAGTATAGAAATGGTTCCTCTGAGTGAAGGCTAGGCTCTGACTTCAGCCTTCCTGCCTGTTCCCTGCCTCCATCTGTCTCCAACCATTGCTCAGCACTTACACTGAGGTGTGTAGGCATCCTTCAAAGGAGAGCAGTTCCGCTGAGTAGTTGTGATTTTTGTTACTTCAATTTCTGTGTGCTTTTGCTAGGTGAGCCGTAGGGTGGATGAATATATTCAGGTTTTAGATGGCAAAGGAAAAGTGATCAAATTCTGACATCAAAAGCAGCTGGTGATATCAATCTGCTGGTTGACACATCTGTCTTGATAGTGGTCAAGATCTGATGTATGTAGATGTCTAAATTTGTTCTCAGGCAGTGTACATTACTGCTGTATGAATTACCAGCTCTTGGACTTCTGTAATTTTTGCTATGAACAACGTATAAAATGTGAAACATTTTGCCTTAGTAGCAGTTTCTCCACATGTGACATGGTGTTCAGGTCTTCTTGTTCCCTGGGTAAACTTAAGCAGTCAAAACCAAGCAACTGTATTTTTAATCACAAATAAAGAACATACACATGCTTACTTGGTTATTTTGAGCACCCTTGTCTGATGGCTGGCAAAAATCAAGAACGTGGAGTAGAGTGAAGCAAGTGCTTGGTATTTTCTCCCATTCCAGTCTGTCAGAAGGACTGAGATGGTTGAATAAAATGAATCCTTTTCCATAGAGCAGAAACATTTGAAATAGATCTTCAAGATGCAACCTTTTCCTTCTCTGAGCCTCTCTGAAACTAAGTGACACTTTCTTTTTGAGTAAAACATCTAGAAAGTGTTTGAAAGTGTTTCTAAAATAACTGTATCCTGATACCTTAGCCAAATGTGGGGTTTTTTTGTTTCTTTGTTTGTTTTTTCTTTTTCTTTTCTTTTTTCTTTTTTTTTTTTTTGGTGGTACCAACCTGAAATATCATGGTTTAATACAGGGAGATCAAGTTCTGGCACATCAGCTAACCTGTGGACACTGAATATCCTTAGCCCATGAGAAAGTAAAACGTATTAGAAAATATATATTTTACTGAGGGGCTCAAAATGCAGACATAATTCCTTCAGGTAGACTTATATGCTGTCATTGGAGCTGTGACAGCTGTTTATGTCTGGGAACCTCAGGCCCATTTAAAATATTTTAACTGGACAAAATAAATAAGACATTTGTAAGCCTCATCTCTTCTGAAGTCCCCGATTTATGGTTTAAATTTGGATGTTAGGAAAGAGATTGTTTGCCAATGCCTCATGAAACTTAGCAGAATCAGTCCAGGACAAGAAGAAAAGCTACCAGCTCCAAAAAAGAAAGTATCTTAATGACAACTGTATTAATCATAAGAACTGTAAAATAGGCATTAAAAGAAAAATGACTTTCTACGTGCCCTCCTCCTACAACCTAACAGTCCAAAGTAAACTTAATTCATGTCAAAACAATAGACCAGGGGAGTGTGTATATACACAAGATGTTTGAGCTTGACTTATTTAATAATAGCGCTTAAAAGTTATTTTACTAGGAAGAAATGGCCAATTATAGGGAACTTCCTCTGGGGAAATTACATACAACATACATTGCACGTGCAGTTAGGGAACATGTACGATAGTAACAGCCAAGAATTTCTCCTCCTATATTCTATATTTAAAATATTATGTTTGATCCTGGATTTCCTGCAAAACCCCTCACTATGGTAAGATATCTTTCAAGTGTTGCCAGGGTGTATGCATCAGCACATGAGAGCACAAGAAAGACTGACTAAAAAAGCTTTGGTTCAGAGACCAAACACAAAATACAACTATTGCTTTATGGGCTGTTGCCCATGAAGGGCCCACCATCTTTCTACTAGATTCTAAAACCCTGGAGTTTTAGTAGTTTAACTACAGAAAAGTAACAACTGTAGGAAAGATTATCCTGCTGGATGACAGCAGAAGTACAAGGTAAAATAGAGGATCTTTCTTTGGCATTAGTTAACTTCAAGACTTGGTAAAGCAGCGAGGATTTCAGGCAGGTCTTTTTCAGTGACAGGGAAGAAAGGAAGGTTGGTCAGAAATGAGATGCTGATGTATGACAGCTGCTGCCTTTATTGGATTAAAACAAAGCTTTCAAGACTGTGTTTTTCTAGAACTGTTTAGCTATCTATTCATATGCTTCACCCAATTTTCTCCGTGGCCTCGCTACCAAAACAGCCAACTGTTGATGACATTGCATCTTGAATGTGCTTGCAATCAAAACTTTATTTTTTGGAATTGGGCTGTTTACTTCATCAGCGTAACTTATCATTGAAGGGAGATGTTTGGGGAGAACCAGTCCCCAGAGTGTATCTGCTCCCACAGTAGATGGGGAAATGATGAGCTACTGCTTGGCTGAAAATCCAAGACTTCCTTGGAGGAAGACTTGCAGGTAATTACCTGGTTAATAAGAACCTGACTGGGGGATCTTACTGACAGTGGCTGAACTAAATGAAAATGAGTATCTTAGTGGCATTTGATATTTTCAGTATTGAAAATGTATTAGGGAGCTCAAAGCTGGAGTCTGAAAGAAGCTGAGTACCAGAGTTTTGCCTGCTTTTATATACCCAGTCTTCTTAAAGCTTTTTTGTTACTTGAAAGGATATTAGTTTGTTTCTAACAGCATCATTTATCATCAAGGAGGCATGAGGTAGTTGAGCATCTTATTCTATGGGAATCAAGAACGTTGCTCTCCATCTCTAGGACAGAAGCTGTCATTTTGGAGAGACTTTCTCTGGACAAAATCTTGAACTTAAAGCCGAGCTGTGCAATGCATCATGAACTATCTTTTTCATTAGCGCTATTCCTGGTGATAGATTTCTTTCTCTCTGTGATTTCCCTGTTTTCTGTTTAGATGATAAGCTTTGTCTGTCCAAGTTCAGAATGAGGTGGCAACGGTGCAGTGGAGTCCTCTAAGTGCTCTAAGTATTATAGTAAACTTAAGAAGTTAAGCAATAACAGCAATAAAAATAATGAAGTGGATCGCTACCTTGGAAGTTGGTATTTAAAATGCAGTCAAACCCTGAAATGCTGGATGCAGCTTATTTCACTCTCCGTTAAATAAATTTGACCTATTTCAGAGCCAACTGGTCATGAAACAACATTTTCTGTGTGAGTGCTAGTGGGGTGTCTTACAAGTGAGCATTGGTACAGGTTGTTAGCATTTACAGATATGAGCAAAACCATAAATGATGTGAGTAGCTGTTAAAGCTCCACATCAAAGAGCCTTCCAAGAGTTTTGGAACTTGGTAACTTTGTTAGATTTCTGAACCTCGCAGATCCAATAACTGAAGCAGCTGTATTGAAAAGTAAGCTTTATAACAATTAAAGTTTCGCAAACAATAAAAAAGGGATTACCTATAAAGCTGGTGGAATGGTGGGTTGTATTTTTTTTTTTTTTTTCCTTTTCCCCTGTTCTTTGGAGCAATCGACACTTTCATTGTATGGACTTTCAGATAATTACAGAACTAGAACAGCAACCTTTTGAAACTCCTTTATTATTGAAATATATTTAATAACATGGTTTAAGCCACTATTGGCCATCAGCTGGGCCAGAAAATGTCTGCCTTTATAAGTAGTAGACAATTTCCTTTGGATTCAAAGCCATATTTAAATAAAACCTCTGCTTTGTCACACAGTCTCTTTAAGAAGAAGAGATCGTGCTCGATCCTTTCCAAAGTATCGATTCTGTTGGAGGAAAAGGATGAATAAGGAGAGAAGTTTTCTTACTGTTATTTTGAAGAGAAATCGAAGCTAAATAAAAAAGGCTAAAATCGCTTGGGGCTTTTAAATTGGACTATTTTAAGAATAGGGGAGGAAAAAAAAAACACAGAAACCCCCAACAATTGGTTTATAAATAATAAAAAAAAAAAGCTCCATCCTTTAAAGCAATCTCTTTAAAAAGAAGCACTACATACATTTAAAGAAAAGAAGCTGAACTGAATATACAGAGGCAAAACAAAACAAAAAGAAAAAAATACGAGAGGTAAAGTCCAGAGGTAAACTCCAGGCTGGATTCAGTTGAGAAGCTACAGCTTCTGAAAAAGCTTATCGAGTAATAAATAACTGCAGGAAGTAACTGAGCAACCACATCTACTGATCACTGGGAACATGCTACAGTGGTATGTGCCACAGAATGAGGACAGCACCCAAATGCAGAGTTTATTCTGTATCTTTTAGCTTGCATAATGCTACCAGAGAAGAGCAGGAATAGACTTATCCTTCTAAGCTGTTCAGTACAATCTTGTTATGTTTTGGTAGGTGAATCCAGTAAGAGTATAATAATAATAACACTTTGCTTACAATAGAAGAATAAAACTAAAGTTTGGTATTTTGGTGCTTCTGGGTAGATTTAAATAATTCTAAAAATCATTATCTCTTTCTATGTATTTTATATATGCTACTCTATTTGACACAAAGTAAAACAAAAAGTTGAATGTATGACTATTTGTATGAAATGTTTTACAATTAACTGAAAAAGTCAGTAAAGTATGGATCGTATGATAAAGCCATTTTAATTGTTGTCATAATATATTTTCACTAAGTACAGTGTGATATTAAACTGGATTCTGTACTTAGTAGCTCCTACAAGGGTTCTGTTCTGTTCCTGCTACTTCTCAGCCTGTAGGATTAAATGGACAGAAAATGGCACAGACATGTACAGTAAAGACAACCTTCTTCACCAAGAGAAGAAATTAATAACAAACCACTGAAAATGAAGTACTGAGTCTTCATTTCAGAAGGATGCAAACTCATATCCCAAAGGATAGCATGGCAAGAAAGCTAATGACATTAATACATAGGTAAAGTTGCTCTTTCCTCACAATTGAGATGTACCCTTTCTTAGATCTAAGAACATTCAGTTCTTGGTTTAAATCAGATCATATCTGCAGTAATTATTACTGTCAGAAAAGTTGAATTTGCTTCTTCATGATAAAGGAGCATTTAATGTACTGTGATTGCTTTTTTTTTTTCTCTACTCCCCCCTCCTCCACTTCTGCTAATAGCAAAACTCACAAGTTTTGGTCACGTAGGGATCTCATGGCACCAAAAGATACAAGAAAAAATAAACAGAGTCTTTAAAGATCATTTGAAGCCAAGTAATAGAAGGGAGGCATTGAGAACAGAGAGCAGACGTCTTCCCTCAAAGAGTCAGTAGGTAAGCTCTGAGCCAGCCTGGTCCAAGCATCATTGAGGGAGCTTTGAACTTGACTTTTCTGTATTCCCAGTTTAGCTTTAACATTGATTTTATTTTTTCCCTCAACCTGTTGGTTGTCATATTGTTAGCCAGTGTTGAAGCTGTAAGGGAACATAAGTGATTGTTTAATAACATTGATTCAAGTGATGCTTAATAGTTAAAGATATTTTAAGTGCGTTGTTGACAAATACAGAATCACAAAGTCTTAAATCTACTGATAGGTTTCTGTGGATTCTAGTCAGCAGTGAGAAATGTGCTGAATTTAAGAATTGTTAAATTGGGATAAATGGAGATAAGCTTTCAGCTTGGTTTGAAAATTCAGACGTGCTGAGTGCTGATGTGAAGAAAGCTTCTGTACTTTTTGGTTGGTCAGTGTTATGCACACAACTCTGAACTAGCAATAAAACATATTCCTAGCTGTATAGTGAAAGCGCCAACAAGTTAATATAACGTGCCCTGGTCTTTGGCATCCTTTGAGGGATCACTAGGGATTTGCTTCCAAGTATATTTTTCTAATTTAAGCAAAATCTGTTTGCTTCCTTTTTTTGCCATTACTTGGAGTCAGAAGTATAGTGTAGCAATCACTACCTGTCTGCCTATTCATATAGGAACATTTGACTGTATAAAAATGATGTTATTACAGCTGGAACATGAAAAATCTTTGAATAACTGAGGGCAGAAATGGAGTAATGAGAAGGAACGAAGAGGTGCTGTGTTACTGCACAATCTTAGCCACATTATATACACAGTGCTCACAAAACAGGAAACTGCAGGGTTTTTTTTTCTTTTTCTGTACTCTGTGAATCTACACTTGGATTCTTTTTTTTCTGAAATTAAAAAATATACTTCAAACAGTATTTTTTTCAATATTTTTTCAGAGCAGGCAAAAGGCAGATTTCTTTTTTCAATATCAGTGTACAAACCCCCACTATAATATCTGGGTCATGTTTTGAGGTAGCGTGCATAATTGTAGTTGCTTTCAACTTTGAAGCCAGAAAGTGGTCCAACATGAATGCTGATAACAGTAACAAGTTTCATATTTGCATCCTTTTTATCTTCTATGAAAAGACCTATATTTCAATAAGGCCATTTTATTTACTAAAAGGAAAGCAGTATTTGGAAACATAGGATGTATTTCATGGCTGCTTAAGAAGTGTCCAGTAGTATTTTCAATCAAATGTATACCTGTGGGCAGTCCATTCCATGTTGTTCAGACTATTATTTTGTCTGTGTACTGACAGTGGATGTTTGGTTGCTTTTTTTACCCTATTCTCTGATAATCTCTGATGGAGATTAGAAAATCTGATTTTAGATTGCTGTGTAATAACCAGGGAAGAGGATGTGACCTATTCAGTCACATGTTATAGTCTGGTAATATATTCATCTTGTGGTGAGATTTTGCTGTACTCAGATATATGACCTAGGATATTGGATTGAAGTGATCTGTAACATTATCAATTCTGCTTAGCTATTTCTTTATGGAGTGGAAGGAGGGTGCCAAAAACCTCCAAACAGCAATAGGCACACAGAGATCTGAGCCTCCTGCATCCCATCGTGCTGGCAGAAACAAAAGACCGCAGACCTGTGGACATCTGCCATGAGGAGGCTGATGCAAACCCTGCTAAAGGCAGGAAGGAGACAAAGCACAGTGAAAGGAGTACAAACCTTAAACTGCCTGATGTTTCCTTGGGCCACGAGCTGATGTTCATTTTCAGGTGTGATGCAGTAAGCTAGTCTCTAAACCAGAGAGAGAAGAGAAAAAAGTCAGCCATATGAAGTGGGATTATGTCTGTAAACCCCAACCTATAATGGGAAAGTGTGAACTTTATTTAAAGCCGTAACTTAAATGTTTAATATCACTGCATCATGTGTCTTTAACTTAGTCACTGAGAGATCAAGCTGCTTGTAAGCCCCCTGATATTAGCATTTAATATAAGATAGAGTAGAAAGTTTATGCAAATACTGAGTCCAAATATTTAGCAAGTGCATATGGAAAAGAACACCAGGAACAAGCTGGTACCGCAGGCTTTATGTCCCCGGAACTCACACTATTAAGGCTGCATTTTGTCAAACTTTGTACTGTTAGGAAATTCATTAGAAATAGGATTTCTTTAATTAAGTGCCTTTCTATTATACCGCTGCTTTTAATAAGATGGTCACAAATTGTTACTCCTTCAGGTTTTGCTGTATTCAGTTCATGCAGCATCTATGTTATGGCTTAAGTGGGTTTACATAGTGGAGGATCCTGCTGCCAAGTGCCCTGGTTCATTTACTGAAGTACAGAAGTAAGAGGCTAGATGATGATACAATAACCAATGCCTTTTAGTATAGGATTTAGAAGTGCTTCTTCATTTCTGGATCTTTTTCAGCACCTTGGTGTGGATATAGAGGTGTTTTTTTTTTTTTTTTTTTTTTTTTCCAAGCATTCTGGTATCAGTGTGGAAAACAATAAAAAGATCTGCATGAGTTCAAACCCTAGCAAAAAATAGAAGCAACTCCACTAAGGAGAGGATAAGGGAACATATCTGACAGAAATTAAAATACTAAGTAGCTGCTGCTAAAGACAAAATACGGGGCAAAGTGGAATCTATTGCTGTGATCCAGTAAAGCATTATCACTGCTATTGCTGGATGCTTATTACGTGATCAATGGCAATCCTGAATGTGGAGCTATTTTGAGGATGCATCTTGCCTTCCCAGCATGTAGATTTGTGTTTAGAGACTGATGTAGACTCTGTGACAGGAGAGGTCCGAGTTAACTATATTTGCACAGAACGGTTTATAACACTACCACAGCATAGGGTGATACCTTGGACATGGTTTAGTTTGTAACTATGTGAAGACTATAACTTAGAACCGAATATAAAGATTGTAGTTTGTATGTTTTTTGCTAATGAGGAATACTTTTTCTCATCAATCAGGTTAACTACATGTATCAAAAATCAGTTTTAAAAAATTATGCTTTCTGTAAAGAAAATTTCTATCTAGAAACAGGGAAAGGATGCAGTAAACCCCCAGTGCATCAGAAACTGAATCCAAAAGGTCACTCATAACTAATAAGTTTGGGGAGCAAGAGAAACAAACTGTCACATTAGATCCAGCCATTTCATTTCAGAGCAACATTTAATGACATTTTATTAGCATTTCACTTACTTCTTTAAAGGTCCCACGCACATTCACAAATTTATAGATAATATAGGCAGGCACAAGTATCATTGAAGATAATGCTATTCCCCAGCCAATGCGATTTGCCCAGAGAGGGAAGGTGTAGTCGTCATAGGTCAGAGGTTTGAAGTTTATTATGCTGACTATTACAACAAACTAGGGGAGAAAAAATAAAATCAACCATTGCTTTGAGACATGAAGAAACTTAGTGGAAAACAAATTTTGTGTGTTTGATTAGGCAAGCACCCTAAGGAGTATTTAAAGTTGGCTTCACCATTTACCTTCATCCTATTTATTTTGTGCCTCTAACTGCTTATGCTGTTGAAGTTCTTGCTGCAGTTGCTGAGATTAACAATTCATTTCAGCTGCTCTGGACACTGAATGCTGGATCTTTTAGGGGGAGGATTGTGTTGTTGTCCACTATGGCCTCACTTAAACTAGCGTTAAAGGAATAAAAACAAAAATCTGTAATTAAGAAAAACCTCTTCAGGATCTCTTGTTTTTCCTGCTTCTCAGAGGTTTTATTTTCTTAGGAGTTTTATACCTGTTTTCCAGTGAGAATCATGACGTAAACTCCAGCACAATTCATTTAGTGAGGGAAATGCCATACAGCTTAAGGCCTGGAAGACAAAGGTGTTTGATTTTTATGTTTTTGTTTGTTTGCCTGTTTTTTTTTGTTGTTGTTTTGTTTTTTTAATTTGTTCTCGTTTGTTGTTTCTTTTCCTCCTGCTGCTACCCTATCCAACACCAGGGCTGAGAAGGAAAGATTAAGGTACCACCCTATTTCCTTCATTTTATTTTCTTGTTAAATCCATATGGATTGTGTATTCCTCAGAGTTCCTTGATTTGGTTTATTGGGCCTGCACGTTCTCTTCCATGTCCAGTTTCAAGCTGTAGAATTTTGAACCTAGGATTTCAAAGGCTATGCAAGGAGTGTATGAGTTAAAGGAAACCAACAGTATAAAATTCTTAGACAAATGCTTATTTCCTTATGAGATTTCCTTGCTATGATATACACAGCAGCAGTTTGTATGGAGAAAATGCTTCAAGGAGATGCTTCCACACAACAGTTATCTGGATGACCCCAACTTGCCTTTCTTAGGGAGTACTGTATTTATTGTTAGAAACTTTTGTAGCATGCTACCGGTCACAAACAAGGACAAGTTGTGGTAGGAAAATATGGAATTGTTAAAGGAACAATTATACTGCAGTCTTACGATTTTATAGTCTTCTCCAATTTGTTATGAACTATATATATTGTTTTTGTTTTTTTGTAAACTTGTATAACAGTGCTCTAAGAATATAAAGCTTTTATGCAATTAATAGTTAAATCGTAGCAAGATCAGATTTCCATGCTATTCACCCTGATGTCTTGATTTACAAATACACACGGCAAATGATCCCAACACAAAACCAATTATGTTCTGAATCTAAACTTTACACAGAGCAAAGAAAGGATATATTGACATTTCAGGATATTTTTTTCCTAAATGAAAATCACAACTGTTTCATTACAGATCAAGTGGTTTACAAGGTATAATTAATACATCTGCTCAACGTAATTAATGGGTATAATTGCATGCGACTTATTCTAAGGTCTTATCCCATCTTGGTGGGAATCCTGGTGCCCTCCAATAAAATAATTTACCAGTGAAAGATGTGCTCTAATAGATGTAATACAAATGCAGAGATTTTTAATCAGTGTTTCTGAGCATGTTGCTCTGATCTCTATCTTAAGAAGTGGTGTGTGTAATATATACTTGAGAAGAGAGAAATGAAATCTAGTAGTAAGTAAAAACTTCTGACATGTTTTCATCTTCCTGAACTGCTATATATAATCATTAGTAGATGGTTTTAAGCTTTTTGGTATGATACTTCACTTCTGGAGGAGTGAAAGATTTGCAGTAGCCAGGTGTCAGGATGGGAAAATGAGTATATACAGTTGTGTCTATGGTGATTCAACGCATGGAGGCAAAGGCTGTATTATTTGTCTTTAAGAAAAAGATCTGCAATCCTGATCAACCTGAGTGTCTGGAAACAAACTTGATGCCCAATACATCTCTTCTTGGAAAGTCAGAGTTTAAATTAAAAGTTAGATTTGACATATGTAATAAAATCAGAATGAGTGAGCCTTGGTGCTGAAGATCAAATGCACAGAAATAAGTAACAGAGCCAGAATTACGGAAAAGCAGATTGAACGTGGTTTCAGTAATCACAGAACCCCAGGGAGAGTCTGCAAAACATCTTATTACTGGAATTAGGGAAGGCTGGCAATGGTTGCTTTAATTATGTGTGAATCTATTTTAATATTTTTCTTAACATTTTTAAATTGGTGCCTTCCAAAAAGACAGTCTGATTTGATTTGGTATAAAACAGTGTCATTTCATTAAGGTTTTATTTTTCTATTTCACTAAAAATTTCATACAGTTTTGAGGCCTTCTGCATTGAACTTTCTTGAGATTACCCTTTTAATCCTGCTTCAAAGATGAGGCCAGCTACAGGAGGTTGCAGTTTTAAACTGAAATCCACAGTAGCGGAAATGAGAACGGGGAGGGGTGATGAACCTGAACATTCAGATGCACTTTGCTATCATTAGGAAATAAAATTATGTAAAGCTTTAGTAGTAAGGGAAGTTCAACATTGTTGACTTCAGGTACATCACATATGCTCAGCCTTTTGCCCTAGTAAAATCTCTTATCCCTGGCTAGTTTATTTTTGCAACAGAAGTATGTTTTTATTGTCCATAGATGCTGGGAGCACGCTGCATCTAGCTGTCTTTTTAGTAACTTGCTTAATTTACATCTTGAAGAGGTGAGGGAACAGAAGATGACCACAGCCACAATTAGCTTCTCCTGAACAAGCAAAATATTATGCACAAAATACAACCTGTGCCATTGAGGGGAAGAAGTAATTAAATTGTATTCACCCTGAGAGTGTCAGGCATAAAAGAATCACCTCAGACTGATAACTATTGGATATTCTAAGAAAGACGTGCTGGCAGTTATTTGATAATGAAATAACAATAATAACACTTACCAACAGAAAAGCAGGGCTAACAAACTTCCAGCACAGTCTCCAGTAGAGGCCTGGCTTGAAGCCCATCATTTGTTGGATATCTTCACTGAATCTGTCTACACCTAGAAGGGATGTGAGATCAGACTGGCATTAATCTAAACTGATAAGGTGCTGGCCTATCCCAAAATACAAATCTTATTTTAGAAAGACTTCCAAATGAGGGAGAAGTACAAGACTAAATTGATTGATTTTCAATGAATAGATGCATCTTTGATATTACTATCAGGATTGCTCTGAAACCAATGCCCCCTAGTTTATTATGTTGGCCCGTAACATCACAGCAGATGATGGCGGTATGGCAAAAGAAGCTGAACCTTCCCACCAGTATTCTGTTACTTCTTGCTGCTGTGTGACAGATGGCAGCAGAGGGGCACTCTGACAGAATGGTGTCTGGCATGGAAGCGTGAAGGAAATGAAAGTGTGTCACTGAGTTCTTCTGTGTAGAAAAAATGGTCCCCATTGACACTCATCAACACTTGCTGAAGGTTTATGGAGACCAACCAGTGGTGGTGTGCATTTCAGCAGTGATGACCGCAACATAAAGGATAAGACATTTTCTGGGTGGCCACGTATAGCTTTCCCACCACAAAATGAAAATTGTCTTGATCAGCTCATCCATGCAAACTGGCTATGGTGGTGACTATACTGAAAAATAGTGTTTTGTAGCTGAGAACTTGCTCTATCCAGTAATGTTATTATGCTCTTTGTATCTGTTGTAGTTTCTATGGAAACAAATAGGAGGCATTACTTTCAGAGCAGCCTACTTTTGTCCAAGAGTTAAGCACCTGTGAGCACTTAGTCTGTCACAAATAGCATTACTGTTGGAAAGATAAGCTTAACAAACATCTGGCACTTGATTTATGGACTTCATACATTTTTTGTAATAGTTGTGGACTGTTGTAACCTAATTATTCAGCACTACTGTGAGTGTATATATATTACACAAACTGCTTTCTGATATTGATGTAGATTTGTATGATTCATAATTTTTCAAAGGAAGTTGTATTAGTTCTGGTTAGTGGCATGCTTTACTAACTTTTCAGTGTTTCATTAAATGCTGCAGATTTTTAATTACATAATGACGAATGTCATTTCATTTTTATCACCTTTCCAAGGAACTGGACAGGTGCTTCTTCTGTTCAGTGTAAATATGTACAAAATAAACCAGCAGCTCTTGATATTGTCTCTTTACAAGACTCAGTACATTTAGCAGGCATGAAGTAGTGCACAAGACTTGCAGCAAAAATCTGTAATACCACTCCATTCACAACTATGTATCTACTTGCATTGGGATTCACTGCATCACAAATGTAGGGAAACAGAGTCACCACAATAACATTTTCAGCAACTGTGACATACTGGCCAGAGGGGAGAAGAGCTACCAAGTGCCAGCTTTTCAGTCTTTAGTGTTCTTTGAATCCATATAGTCTGAGATTTCGGATGTATGCTGGTACATATGTGTGTACTTAGTACTTCTGACAGTCTGAGTATTAACAGCTGTAACAATGGTAAAGGGAAGCCCTTTTTTGGACAAATATGAGTACAATGTAAATAGCTGCAGTAGAAAATCTCCTGCAGCCAACACAGAAAGGAAGATCACTTGACCTTGTAGACTCATTCAGAAACACCATCTAGACAGGCAATTCACACTGAAACAGTTTGTTCTACTCAGGACAAGGTAAAAAAAAACAAGTTTGCTACCATAAGTTACTTACTGTTGTGGAATTGATGTGTCCTCAGGAAGGAAGACATTTCACTCAGTCTCCTAATTCCTTTACAGATTTACATTGAGTGTCATGAATTATATGTATAAGCACTTTAGCACTTTTAGTAGAAATAGAATAGGCTTTTTGTGAGTGGCTCGTCATTTGATAGAGATGGTGTATTGTTTGCTGTAATAATAGTTTCTCTTTGTGTGGACCAGTTTAGTAGTGTTTCTTAAATAATGAGGGCAGCTCAAGTATTCCCTCAGGAGCCAGGGATATTTATTTACAAGGTCTGGACTCTTGAACTTCTGTCTCATTGTGAACCTCCTCCTCCACTGCCTCCCAGTATTACATGCAGGTGGAGCGAAGTAGTCAAATTTAAGAAAAGATCTGTAAATGCTCTTTGAACTCAATCTGATTCTATTTGCAGTGCCTTCTGTGAACTTCAAAGTGACTGAATTTCAACTGCTTCAGATACTAAGAGTTGAAATTTATTGTTGAACAGAAGGTCAAATACTAGAACTAGATTAGGTTATCTGAATAATTTTTTTTTAGATTCCAGACAGATGTACTCACAGTTCAAACAGTATTTTCTGTCCAATGTTTACTGAAAGTGGGGTATAAGTAGGCCCTATTCTCAGGCTGCTTTTTCAACAGCATGTTTTTTCAATATCATAGTCTTCAAATGATTCTAAGAACCAACCTGTGAAGTGGAAATTAGCTTTATCTACCGGTAGGGCTGCTCATTTCCAGTTGTTTGGTGATCCTGTAGGATAACTCAGAAGGATATACCTAAACTATGAGTGACTCTTTCAGCCACAGGAGGAAACTGATACTGCAAACAAAACTCCAGATTAGTTGCCAGAGAACTGGTGTGAGGTATGAGAATAATCTCCTTGATTTTCCAGTGAAAAACAAGAAAGATATACATACAGTCTATGACCAGCCCCATGACTAAATACACTAAATCCAAAGGGAATGTAAGTGTTATTTCTGAACTAATAAACTTTGCAGTTGCTTGGGAATGTCTCTACTGCAACCTTCTGTTAAACAGTACAGAAAATTTGACCTGCTCTCTATGTATGTCATATTGTATTGCCAATGGAATCAACATGGAAAAAGAACAAAATGAGCAAGAAGGTGGGAAACAGATTTGGCTATAAATGCACATTATCCTCCTAGGATGGTACAGCATTCTTTTTTTCTCATTGATGATGAGATCAGAGTACAGAGAGAATGGAAGTCGACACATTGCCAGTGCCTTCTGCAGTGGCCACACGACAGAGCTCTGTAAGTCATTTTGCTGTGCAGGCAAAGCAATGTGAATTGCACAGAAGCTCTCGAGCAGATCCTTGGCTCTGAGGTGAAATTTTTCAGTGGCCATAGCTGAAATATTTTATTGGCATGTTTTCAGAAAGTGGTGAAATACTTTCAGCAGATGATCAGAGCCTTACAAGCATTCATTCGATGTTGTATTTACCGCTTCTGTCTTGTTTAACTCTGTATTCCTATGTAGTTTTCTTTCACAAGCCTGGCTTATGATTATTTTTCATTTAGAAGGTAAAAATTAATAGAAATACCTTGAATTTCATGTATTTGATTTAAATGAATTTAAAAAATCAAGTGAACTTGCACTGAAATAAGAAAGTAGTAAGAAAAAAGGAATTTTGAATTAGTTTAGAACCTATGATGATATCAGGTTTGCACAAGAGGAAAAATGGTAACAGTTACAACTAACACATTCCTTGTATTAAAATGAACTTGCTTTCCCTTCTCCCTTATGCATTCAGGTGTATTTTGCAATAGATTTCACAATAAGTGAGCATAGTAATAATTTGAACTTAATGTAAGATTTTCCACGTTTTTATCTCTGCCAAAATGTCAGTGCTTGCCTTCAGGCTGGCTTAATGTTTTGCTGGGTCATCAAGGCAACTGGGGTCTATCAGGAAAAAGAGGTAGATGAGGCCATGCCAGATTTAATCAGTCAAAGTCTTAAAAACAGGACCTGGGGCTGCAAAGAGTTCTTTGTTATAAAGCAACAGGTCATATTGTGTCAGTAAAAGTATCTGTCAGCTGCTTAAGACAAAGGAATAGATGCTTTCTTGATTATGGGGGAGGCAGGAGGGAGAAGGGAAAGGATGGTGAAGGGCAGAAGTTGCAATGTTTACACAAAGCCTGGCTGAGCTTGGTTTAGCCTGGGAATCACATCCAAAGCGTAGCTATTGTAAAACACAATAAATCCTAGTTTGAGAGTGGCAGATAATAACTCGCTTTTACTAATCTAACAATATTGTCATGTGTCGGCTTCCAAGCTAAGTTAACTCTTCTGCATTCAGCTCTTTTTATAGGGACAAAAACAGTTGTTGTGTCCTCGTGTATTTTGAGAGAACAGTGTAAGAACTGCTAGCTCCACAGTGACACTGAGTGACAAAGTCAGTACTTTTACTGAAGAAAAAGCTTTCAAGCTTTAGTTGAACAGCTTTAGACATGAATGCTTCATGCACGCGTCAACAGCTTTTAATTGTAAGAGGATGACTAGAAGAATATAGTGGTGTAGTATAGGTGAGATAGATCAGTAACTGAGGTAGGGAAATGGCAGTGAGGATGATCATGCTGAGATCTGAGTCATATTAACTATAAACATTGTCTCTGAATAGAAATAAATATGACTTTCAGGTCTAGAACAACCTTACTAGGAATTAGGGCAGCTAGTTCAATAGAGACTTCACTGAGTGAAAAAAAGGAGGAAAAATAACAGGAAAATCAATCTAGCATCAAGAAATTTTATCTTCAGCTGATAGTTTGGACTGTTGAAATAAGTTGACTTAGGTATGATACAAGATTTTCAGTCTTAGATGGGTTATAGAGCTCATGACAAGTTTGTGATTAATACTGCACTCCAGAATATATTTCTCTTATCCGTCCAAAGGAGGGGCTCCTCTAAATCACACTTCCAAAATATTTACAGTGCTGTTGACAGTAAAATTAATTTCTTACCATAAAACCAGGAAACTCCAATCGCCTCCATTAAAACAGCAAACAATATTGAAGTCCCAGCTGCAAATGTGTCCAGAAGCGTGAGCACATAAATTCCACCCTAGCATGCGGGAGTTAAAAGATGCAATAAACCAAAGTTACAAGTGGAGTAATTTCAGTACTTCAGTAACAAGTTAACAGAAATCTGCTCTACTTAAAATCTCTTAACCCAAGCATTTTAGTACTGGTACTGCAGACATGGGTGCATGTGTGCATATGGCATAGTGAAATCAGACTTGAAACCTTTTTAATGAACTGCCCTTTCACCCGTGTTCTTGCTGAAAGAGAAGCCTCGTACAACGTGATTAAAGAGTGTGCTCAACACTGTGTTTTTTGTGGCATTTGAGTGGAGTTTGAGGGAATGCTCAGCAGTTTGTAGGACTATCTAAGCCCCTAATGAAAAGCTTCCGAAATTACGGGCAGGAATGGAGTGCTGCAAGAGTTTCCACAAGGTATTATTGCTCACTTTGTTCCCAAGGGCTGTAGTCCAATGAATCTGTGTTAGATTGATATCTCTTTTCCACACCTGTGAAGGGAGCAGTTGCACGCTAAGCCTGTGGGAGCAGCTTTGAGCCGTGCGATTTCCCTGCAATTTCATTGGCAAGCTCCCCCCCAAGTGGGGAGAGCAGCCTAGCTCATCTTCCTGTACTGCAGAATGTTTTGGATCTTCAGTGCCTTGTGGCTGAGAACTGCAATGGCAGTTACTAAACTCTTCTGTTGATTTTATTTTTAATTTTGAAGTTGCAATTTGACAACTTTTTTTCTTGATCTACAAACTGGTACAAATTTGTTCAAATTACAGCTCATTTTATGGAAGTTGAGCGAAAGAGGAGTGGAAAAGCATGGTATGTTTACTTGTTTCAACAGGATTCAGTATTCAACTGAATATACTTTGTCAAATATAAACTACTAAAAATTTTCACTTCACGGTATATTTCCGTTAAAGTCTTTTTTTCACAGTCAAATTTAACTTGCCTACACCTGTTCAGAATTGAGGGGAACAAAAGTATAATTCTCTGTTTTTCCCACTGGTATAAATTTTGTACTATGGAGATCTCTAGATAGTTTTAATCTGTGCAGTCAATCAGTTTTATTTTTTCATGGTTTTCCAGAACAGCTGTGCTTATTTGCAAGAGTAGAGAAAACAGTACTTAGGCCTTGTCTAGGTTTTTAATTCTGTGGGGATGTTGGGAAACTGAATGAACTTTGATTGTTGTGTTAGAAAATGCTTATTCAAAGGCATTTCAGTTTGACCTCTTGTTTTTGTTCTACACTTGCTCTAAATGAATGCCTTTGCTATCAAAGCTTAGCAAAGTGAATAATAGTTTTGTTAGAAACATGTTTTGAGGATACAGCCTCGAATTTCCAGAGGATGAAATCAAACAATGTGATGTTATCACAAGGGTTTTTCTCAGTAGCTTGTACGCATTAGAAATAGTCTTCAGTTATGCACACCATTGCATTTGGACAAGCCTGGGCAGCTTAGTGCATTCCATTTGGTGGAGAGATCTTAATTCCAAGCAGGTGTCATAATGTGACAGCTAGAGCCAGATTGTCATCTTGAGCTGCTTTAGCCTGCTTGAAGACAGTGGGGTTGCACCTGTTGACACCTGTCTGTGTTTCCAGCCACTGAGTTTGTACTGAAAAGAAGTTTCTTCTCAGTTGCAATTCAGGATGAAGAAGAATGCAATCAAGTCTTTAGTTAACAATAAGAGGTAGCACGATAGTAAAAGGACAGATATAATAAGGTTGGAAATGTTGGGGTATTTTTTAGCGTTAATAGATCTTGGTTCGTTATACACGAATGCCATCTCAATAGTTCTAATAATTGATCTGGAGACTGTTTCCAGGAAGGGAGAGAAGTTCAGCACATCTGTTTTCACAGTGGCTACCTCACATCTCACTTGTTTTCTGGTAGTCTTGACATCTTGCTTACAGAATGTTTTTCTTTTTTTGGCAAAAATCATAAGGTGTTCTCACTGAAGGACATCCAACCTAGTACATTGTCAAAAGCCTGGTGAAGCAAACCATTCAAGAGAAAAAAATCCTCAGAGTAATGGTGGTGAAAACTATAGCTGAACATCCAGTAGTCTGTATGATTTGTGCGGTGTTGAGCATAAGAGTTTAGATTGAAAAGCATTAAGAAACACTCGAGGCTAAGTAGATCATTGCTCCAAATTCGTCTCGTGAAGTAAATGCTTCTGATTTGCTTAAAAAAAAAAAAAAAAACCAACCAAAAGAACCCAAAAATCCAATAACCAAATATCTGATGGACTGGTCACCTGAAATCTTTAATTCCTCGGATTGGAACTAATTGCTCAATGTAATTCAATTTAAAACCCCACATAACACTGGGAGCACAAAAGTTTCCTTGGAGTAGAGGCTTGTAGGTCTAGTTGATAGCTAATAATCTTATCTAAAAAGAGCAGAGAATTATCATGTAGGTAAGGCTAATAATAATACTCTGGCCATGAGGTTGTTTAAGAATTAAAATTTGTCTATAACCAGATTACAGTCACCTGAACCTCTCTATTTCCATCTGGTGAGGTTAACCCTATTTTTGAGGTATCCTGTGATGGAAACTGTTGTTGTACTTACATTGGTGATGCAAAAAAGGGCAAGAAGGAAAGTGCCAAATGAAACACCAAAGGTGAAGAGCTTTCTGTGCTGCTTCAGAATATGGAAATCATCTGCCAGGCCAGTGATGACAGCCTCCATTCCACCCATCTAGGAAGGGAAGGCAGAAGCTCTGGTTAAACAGTACCGAAAAGTTTTATGCACAAAGACTGTAAATAGCTTGTGTAATGAATTCCCAACCACTGCGTGATTTCTGACATTTCATACGCACATCACTGGCCTTCTGAGGTAGAATCTGTTGTCATAGGTAGAGAACTGAGTGAGGGAATTGAGCATCCAATGCCATGCTTGCTGGCTTGATTTCCCATACCCTCTGCTGACAATTTGCTCTCTCCACCAGGATAATAAGATAGCAAGATGCTACTTTGGGAAAAATAGTATCCATTTAATAATGCTCAGGAAGAAGTTTTATCTTAAGAAGTTAAATTACTTAAGAGATTTTTTTGTGTAAAGAGAAAGATGCAGTTCACACCCAGGAAAAAGGCACTGAACACAGACTGAGTTTAGCCATTGATTAATCAAATCCAGTTAGACAGAAATGTTTAGGAAGGCTCACTATATAAGAAGTTTGATCTTACTTTTCTGTTGATAATACAAAATTATTTTGTTTCCTAGAAGTCAATTCTGAGCTTGACTTGGAAAATATCTTTCCAAGTTTTCATTGCAATCGCTGTGTTATACAGGTAGCTGTGAATTTTCTTTCCACTAAGAAAAGAATTCTGTCCCTTCTCCACAAAGAAGCTATGGGGAAATTAATTCCTCTTTCCTGTCATGATGCATTTATTTAATACTTCATCATTTTTTGAGGAGGCTGGATGCTGTGTGTTTTCTGATGTCAAAAGATCATGGCAAACCCTGGAGTGCTTTGTGCAATATAGGAGTCAAGATGTATTGACACAATCTGCCGCTTTCCTTAAGATTCCTTTGGTAATAATGTGGTGAAATCAGCATCTCTGGTTCCAATAGTAGCAGAGCTGTCTCTCTAGTATATGGATGATTTCAGTCAGCCAAGTTGCTGGGGGCAGTGAAGCTTTTTTCCAAAAATAATTAATGTTCACAAAAAGTGTTGCAAAACCTGGTGTGGGTTTGTGCTTCCTAATCTCTGGGGGCATCAGTGAGTGTTGTGCAGTTAAGAGGAGGTATTATTTGATGTGCTTAGAAATAGTTACTGTGTTGATGCTATAATGACAGTGGAAAAGTTGAAGTGGAAAAAGATGGTTTGTATTATTTTGGCTAAGGACCAATTCTTAATGTGTCACTGTTTATTCCATTTGTTAATCTCCCATGTCAAGCTAGATACATACTCCAAAAAGTGTTTGCAAACATTTGTTCCATTTCTTCTCCTTTCACTGTTGCTTGCTAAAACCTGCATGATCAGATTTCTCTTTGCTTAAACATTTTGACAGTTCCATTTTTGTACAGATGGCTGTATATTTCTGTGCCAGTGCAGGTTTATATGCCTATAAAACTGTTTGTATATAATTATTCAACTACAGCTTTGGGATTCTTTGATTTTTATCTTAAAATTTTTAAATTTTCCCCTCGAGGTACTTGATCAGGGAGAGAGTTGAAAAGGCCATGATAAAAAGATGCTGGACAATCTGAGTTTTCTTCAGTAATGGTGATTAAAAAAACTCCTTAACAAAGCATTAACAAGCGCATCCTTGCTCCTTGTTTCCTCCTCCAGTTATATATTAAAAGAGCAAAATCTGACCACGGTTTAACAGCACACAGTGTTTTATTTAACTTCACAAGAAAGAGCTTTATGTGATTGCAGGAAAAGTGTTCTACAATCTAAAGCCTTGTCTTTGTCACTCAAATGTTTCCAGATATTGTCTTAAATTTACCACTGTTGCACAATTAACTATTTTAGATCTAAACGTGGATCTTTTTCTTCTCCTAGTTCTGCACTGCCATTCATGTCTTTCCATTGACCTGGATCTTTCCATCCTTCATGCTTAATTCTACATGAAAAATGACTAAGCTACACAACCAGATATAATCTGGGCTGAAACTTCTGAGTCAGGATGTAGATTTCAGGCCTTTGGGGTAATTTCTGCAAGGCTGAAGTTTCTGTGATTGTGAGTATCACGGTACAGTATAAGCCATCATACTGTAGAAAGGTCAAATGTACTCCTTTAGTGTAGAGCAACAGCTGGGAAGTTGAACTCAATACTGAATTTATCTGCATATTTTGTCATTCCTAGTTACTGATTCTTATTTCCTCACTGTAAAAACAGGTGTTTCAGTATTTCTCAGTCTTCATTTTATATTAGTTAGAATTTATATAGTAAGATAATGAAATCAAACTGCCATGGAAATATTCTGATACAATTATTCTGATTAAATTTACAGGAAATTCTGTATTACTGCTTTTAGGAAAAAATAAATAAAACAGGCCAGCATCAGACATTGTTTTTAGCGGATGAGTGCAATTGAGTGCATGTGAAAATCTCTTCTAGAAACTCCTCAGTGCCACACTGCAGCTTGTATCTTATAAGTAGAGTCCAAAATCTCATTGCAGGTTCGTAGTAGTAGTTGTTCATAGCAGTGATGTTGGGTCATACCTTGGAATAGTAATAAATATTGATGAACAGCCCTTCTCAAAGGTCATAAAAAAGAAGTGATGAGCTTTCTGGCTTGTAAGTTACTTTTATCTCTTCCTAAACCTTTTCAATATTGTGAGCCTTTAATTAAATATACTGCAAGGAGTAATGCCATTGGTATGTTGGCTGTGACTGAAAGCAGATTCAGGGAGGGTACACAGTGTTTATTTGAAAAGCAACAAAACGGGTCTTTCAGGTAGATACTTTTCCTGTTATAACGGTAAAGGAAAATGGTCAAGGCTAGAAGGAAAAAATACTCACAGAACTATCAATGCCAAGAGTAAGGAGCATGATGAAGAATACCACAGCCCAAAATGTAGATCCCGAGAGAGTTGAAATTGCCTCTGGATAGAGGATGAAAACTAAACCAGCTCCTGAAATAGAAAGGAAAAAGAGAAGTAATACAAAAATATGTCTCTTAACTTCATAATAGCGTGCATTTTAATGAGATAAGGTATGACTAAGTTGACTCCTACGTCAGTCCACATCAAATTCTGAGTAACTGTTAAAACAAAAACTTGCATTATGCAAGAAATATATCCAAAGTACATTAGTGTTTTACTCATCACAGTTTTGTAGATAAAATCCATTACATTCTTTTTGCATTTTTAATAATCTTTTAGGGCATTCACATTCTTACTGGATATTTTTCGGTTATGTATTAGAAGAAGATCCTTGTGGGTGCAGACTATGCTGTTTGGCAAGAGAATTCTTGGATGTGATAAGTGAGATGTAGGAAATGAGACCATGGGTGACCTGTTACAAGTGAAAAGACTACAGCAAACCTCACCAGAACTACTCAAAACATTTACCTATAGCATTAAAGAGCAACGTTCCTCCATGATTCTATACAGTGGTAAATCTGTTTGCTGAACTTGTGATGGGCAAGGTGCTAGGAAACCTCAATGCAGCAGAGCTGAGATGAATCAACACAGTTTACTTCACATTTCATCAATGCATCTACACGTAGTTTTAGTTCCAAGTAATGTCACACAGGTCACTTCCATGAGATTTAACACTTGTTTGAAACAAGTATCAGCATATTTGCAAGGAAGCGGTGGATGAAAAGGAGGATTAAAAGTAGTGTAAAATTCACTTCTTACCTTCAGTGGCTACATCCTCAATTTTAACTTTGTGCTCATGAGCCATATAGCCCAGTATGGAGAAAATTGCAAATCCTGAGATGAAGCTTGTGACACAGTTAATGGTACTAGTCAGCAAAGCATCCCTAATGATGGAAAGAAAAATAGCCCAGTAGAAATGAAAACAATACTAAGGTGGGGATTGTTACAAAGCAGTTTCACAAGACTGTTTCCAATTATGCAATTGTTATGAACATCAAGAGCTCATATCAGCATACTATGCTACGAAATGACCTACTTCTGTTTCCTAATTTGTTTTAACGCTGACTTCTGCTCAAAAAGAAAATCAGTAAAGCTATATTATGATACCAAGGAGTAAATTCATCATCCTGGTAGCCATACTATAGGAAAAAAGTACCCTGAGAGAGCCTCATTAGGGAATACTTGAAATAGTCAGAAGCAATTCATGTGAGATATGCAGGAACATTTTCAGATAACTCCAGTGCAGTTTTAGCAAGCTGTGCTACCACTCAGATTAATGATAGTTATCTGTTGTAATGAGGCCCCTTCATCTATGAAGCTGGCTAGGCATTTAAAAACCAAGCACACAACTCACTTTTTAAATCAATTTGTACAATATTTAACCTTTAAACCAAATTGGCTCTTGTAGCAAAGCCGTCATTTTTTCAATCTGCCACAGTATTATGACAGACATGTGTTTTCCTTTGTATTAACAGCCCCTATCACCAAACATAGCTTGAGGAAAGTCTGGCCATGGTCTCTAATGTAGGTGCCTCCCTAACCTGCAGGATGGCTGACAAGTAGCTGCCTGCTGCACGTGATCTTTAGAATAGAGGGAATATCTCTGTGAACGTTAGTGATGCCGAACGGTGCTTCAATAAGCAGAAAGTAAATATTTCCTTTCATCAGTAATGCTACCTGGAAACATAGGTGGCAAATGCCAAATTTTGTTCTCTGGATATTGGTATGCTTTGACAACACCAGACAATTTGACAGTGAAAGCCGGTCTTATCAAGTAACACTGGACAAATTTAGTAAGCTAAGAACTAAATAATATGATTTCACATATAGTCTCTGGTATTTTCATAGTTTCAAGTGTACTCCTTCCATTTCAGAGTAAAACTTCTGAGAATATAGAAGAAAAAAACTTTTCTAGAGGAAGCTACTTGTGAAGTTAATGCAAAATCAACTGCAGGAGACCATAAGTGGTATTTGGATGATTGCTGTGGCTAGCCTTCCAGGTGAAGGGTTCTCAAACCTGCTAGTATCACCTACTGTTAACAATAAGGGGATCTAAAGTCACTCCTGGTTAAGTATAAAGTTCTTTGAAGTCAGTGAAAATATTCCACACTTTTAGTTTCAATCCATTTATATTTGTTCAAATTTGTATGTTCTCTTGTATCCTTGGTCTTGTGGTTGGCAAACCTGCCCACAGCACAGGGAGGGGGGGAAGCAGATGATCTTTAAGGTGCTTTTCAACCCAGACCATTCTATGACTCTGTGATCCTTTCTCTGGAACATTTTTGCTATCCGTCAGTTCTCAATGTATTTATAATAAGTGTTCTTTCTGCATTTATATTGCACGGGAATTTTTTTTTTTAAGATGCTTGTTTTCATTCCAAGATGGAATGTTAACAAAACTTCTAAACGTTGGGAGTTCTCAGGAGGTGCAGAACAGCTTTGGTTGGATTTCCATGGCGGTGATTCAGCAAAACACTTAAAAGCTGACTTGATTTAAAGTACATTCCTAAATTGGAGCTCGACATAAAATATCGAAACAATCACACAACACTAAAACAGTTCTAGAAACTGGAGTCCTTCTGCTTTTAGTGCCTGGACCAATAAGCTTTAATCCTCTGTTCGCTGTTGCTCTTAATGGTACGTTTGAAAGGCAAACACAAGCGCAGTTTACACAGCTGTCCAAAGCCTTAACTCTAATCCCACTCTGTTTTGCGGTGCTGCAGATATCTTGGCAGGTTCCTGTTGCTAAAATTTCAAGACTGTTTCAAGTTTTGAGTTGGTTGCTACGTCTACACAAGTCTGACCATCATTAATGACTGAAGTTTAGCATTTATTCCTGCTGCATTTAACGAATAAAAGAGTATTATTCTGAAGCAGTAAAGAAAGAATAGCTTGTCTTACCTGTAACAGTTGTTGTCAAACTTATTGTAACTGGCAAATGCAATTAAAACACCAAACCCAGCTCCTAAGGAGTAAAATATCTGAGTAGCTGCATCAATCCATACCTGCATAACGACACCAACATTGTCAGAGCGTCAGTTCAGTCTAAAAGATACATCAGGCAAATGAGAAGATGGTAAAAAGCTACCAGTATTGAACATAAATGATCAGTTCTCATGCTCACAGAAATGTTAAGCACTGCTCAGCACCATGAACTCAGCCCCAGCATGTAGCACGGGCACGGTCTGAAATCCCTGAGCAGGAAATGGTAAAGGCTAACACAGTGGACAAGCCTGCAGAACATGCATGCTACTGCCTCTGTGGGGAGTCCACTTCGCTTTGTACTTCGGAGCTTTTGATGAGTACTGAACTGATCGCTTGAATTCTTCTCCTTGCTGGTAGGGGTGCACTTCCACTACTTCTTGTTCCGAGTTAGTTTGTAATGTACAGCCAAACACCTAAAATAGTTACTGGCTCAAGAGTTACAGGTCATTTTCTTTCCCATAAGAGAGCTTTATTCATGGCATGTAATATGCCTTAGATGATGCTTGCTTTCTTCAGATGCTGGAGCATGACTGAAATGCTGTGAACAGAACCATCCAAGTTTTTTTTTTTCTGCTTTCCTTCCCATTTGTTTGGAGGAGTTCCTCCTGTGATAGTCATTAAACGTCAGGTTAGACACAGATCAGACATTTTAAGAATTGTCCACTAGAGAAAACTTTTTAAAATGCTCTAACGTTTTCTGAAATGCTATCCACACATGATGTGCAGACAGCTGTCAGGAACAATGCCACAGTTCTGGTCTCCTGGATCAGAAACCTGGAAATAGTCTCCACTGATTAATAAGGGTTTCATTTATACAGTTGTTGAACAGAGATATTTATTTAAATAAGCACCTTCTAGCTAAATTCCTCAAGGGCAACAGTCAGTGGAGTGAATAATTCCCAGCATTTCTAAAAAGGAGATCTTCATCTTTGGCTAAATCTGCCAAGTGCTTGAAACTACAAAAAGCATCGGATTTTATTTTCATCCCTCTCTACGAGATCACACCCAATTCATCTATTTAGCAGGGAGACTCTAATAAATCTAGGATGCTTATGAACTCCGTCCAGTCCATCTGGATGTTAATGTCAACCCTTCATATTTGACCCAAGCCAAGAGCTTTATCCAATCCTAACATGATGCATAGGAGCATTTATGCTAGTGATCTATGTTTTCCCACTGTAGATGCTGTCACCTACTGCTTGCTGATGACTGAAAACTGCTCATTGAGCTCTGGGTTTGAAGATAGACATTGAGAGTTGGTGATTACTTTGAAGAGCAATCCATGATGTTTACTGTGAACCAGGGGAAAGGTAGATATGGTTGCATTTCGTATAGGGATTAAGATTATGGATTTTTTACTAAATAGGAATGTAATCCTGTAAAGTGAATTCCTTGCTCATTCCTCTTGTACCCAGCTATACCTTAATGTTCTGCCTCCACACAAATGCAGCGATCAAATAGGATTGTACTCTTCAAAGGGAATTTTTGTGGGTGAGAGTGCAGGTAAAAATTGTAAAAATTCCTGTATTTTTTAATTTTTTTATTCTTTTTTTTTTTTTTTTTTTTTCAGAAAGCACTTTCCATAAATTGTATGCCTGAATTTTTTTAAATACTGTTTTTCCTAAGTTATATTTAAATGTGTGTGCTACCATCACAAAGCATTTGTTGCTAGTGGCTCTTCTGTGTCTTGCCAATGAAGTTGTACTCATCATAATTCCCCTCTCTTACTGTTCAAGTATCGCTAAGTCTCTGTGTAAGTGCAGTTGCAAGTAAGAGATCAGCAGGTGTCTATCAAAGGAGTTTTACATATGTTTAGTTGTCCAGTAAAAGTCTTTGCTCATAATTTCTATTTCCTAATCACCTACTAGGAAGATCAACTTAAATGAAAAAAGAACAGAAACTAGAAACTCTCTTAGGACTAAAACTAAATGCAAAGCATCTTTGTTATAACAAAATGAGACAGAAGATGATCACTGGGACTGGTTCTTCTGCAGTTTATGTCCATAGTCTGTCAGAATGTCTTCTGATTGATTAATATTAAAATATTTTACAGTAAGATACTGTTCATATATGCTCTGGAAATGAAAAAAATATATATATATCAAACATTTTGTAGCTGACTGTAATCAGTCTTCCCAGCTTTCTTTGTGGTTGTTTATACTATTCTATATTTAAATACACGTTATTTTCTTGTGTATATGGATTTAAAGAATTACTGTAGATAAGAAACAATTTGTGCACCTCCAGATGCTATACACTCTTCAGAAGACTTGTTAAGGTGTATGAAAGAGTGAGTACTTCTCAATGTCTGATTTCACTCCATACTTAATCCCAAATCATTTAGCAGAGCAGAAATATAACTGCCCTACATGAACGTTTATTGTATCCTTTTGTGCACTGGGGATGATTATGGGACTTTCATAGCTCTCAGAATTTCAGCAAGGAATGTTACTGGGCATTGGTCTAACAAAGAGATCCTCAGGGGAATATTTTCTTCTCTTTATAAGAGATCATTTGTGGGTTCAATATCACTGAGAACTGAGGTGTCTTAGGGCTTTCTCACTGCTGTTCAGAACATGGCCTTGGAAAATGAGAGGACCTTGACATAGATCCTTTGCAAGATGCTTTAGTGCTTTGTGGAGGAGCATTGGCAGAGACTGCTGCAGGTCATCACTGCGACCCTTTTTTTCGTTGTTTTTCAGTTCATAATTTGGTAAAAAGAAATTGTAAATGAAAATCAGGGAAACACTGACATAGAACTGAAGCAAGTGCCTGCTCTTTGGGGCTGAGCACAAAGATCAAACATGCAAATCCAGTATTGCAGCAGGTGGCTCTGTGGGCCAGCAGGGGTGGCTGACATGATAAGCAGTTTGGGAAACTTCTCTTATAACGCATCTCCAGTCTCTTATTCTAGAGCAATATTTTTTTAAGTTATTTGAAAACGTCATAGCAACAAATACGTTTGGGGTCAGCCAAGCAGCAGCTGCAAAAATGTTAAGACAAGAAACAGCAGTGCACAGAAGTATCCTTCCAAACACAGAAGACAGCTGAGAGTGTGGAGGCCTCGATTTGGAGCTGATGCAAACTGACGCAGCTCCGTGGACATCCAGAATGTGGGATGTTTTTCTCAGCAGTACTTAAAATATAAAAAATCAAGATAGAATGTATAGGAAACATACAGTTAAACTATGCGCAGACTACACAGGTATCTCTTAAGAGCTTTTCAATTTTCAAGACAGTTCTTTTCCTACTAGTAGAACCACATTCTTGCTTTTCAGTTTTGTATCTGTTTGAATGGTCTATCCACAGAGATATTGAGTTGTTTCTCAGACAGCATTATTTTTAGAATAGGACTTTGGGAAGATTTACCTGATCATCATTCTGTTAGTCTGAAATGCTGACAATTTCATCAGTTAATGACTATACTTCGATCTTGTCTTACAACGGATGAAATAATTTGCACTTTCAAGATACTCCACAAATTGAGTTGGTTTGGGTGGATTTCATGAGAATGACACAGTATTAAGTGATACAGTGAAATGTACATTACTTTCTATAGAAAGATGGGAACACCATGCTATTGAATGTGTCCTTCATAAGAATGACAATGATTAGGTGAGTTAAAGCCCTGACTTAGTATATTTATTACAGTGCTTATAGGCCTGGATTTTTGTTTGCCAGGTTAATGTTTTGCCAAGTGATTCAAAAAGCAAAATTTTCTTCTTGAAGTAATTCTCAGCCTTTAGAGAGCTGAATTTTTTATAATTCAATTTTCATGTGCAATACATTTTTGTGTTATTTACAGGGTGCACAGTCAAAGAGTGAACTTCTCAAGGGACAAGTGCAGATGGAACCACCTTTGTGCAGGTTCTTAGTGATCAGCACAGTTTGAATTCAGGCTGAGGTACTCCTGTCATGGAGGATGCTGGGAATTCAGACTACTGGAAATACTGGGGATGCTTATTCAAAAGCAGAAATGAGGCTGTGTTATTTCCAGAGTTTAGAACTAATAATTTCAACTTGGTAACAGGTTTAATAATACAGAATGAGAGCAGAAGAGTACACTTACTGTGGCTTCTTTCAATCTTCTGAAATCTATATGCAGATATGCATTTATTCCATTGTATGCGCCAGGCAGGGTTATTCCATGTATTAACAAGACAAATAATACAACGTAAGGCAGAGTGGCTGTTATCCATACAACCTGCAGACAACAGAGATCCTAAAGGTTAACAAGTTGTTACAGAAGATTTAAGAATGTGTGAAAAATACAGCTGGTGCTTTCTTGGCTTTGTCCATTCAGTTCTATGGAGAAGCTCTTTATAGAATGCCCTGGAGGAAACACGTAAAGAATAACGAAGGGTCTGCTGTCACTGCCTGATGTTGTTGGGTGATACTTTCATGAAAATGTAACCCCAAAATTTCTGGTAAGGTGTTTTCTGAAGGGATATCAGAGAAACTTCAAATTCCTTTTATTAGGCATTTATTTTTCTTCTCATGCCATTTTATGTAACAACAAAGCATGAAAACATCAGCACATTTGGCTAAGAATGGGATGCACATCAGACAATTTAAAGCATCTGTGTCTTTCAAGGTATTTTCTCAGTTGAGACCACCAATGCAGAACTGAAAATATGCTAGTAAAATTTCCAGTCAAAACATCATGCAAGCAGAATCTGTAGATAAAATAAAGGCTGAATCTGGGTTGTGTACTTCCACTGCACACATATGAATGCCTCTAGCTTGGTTTAGTCCCCAGGGATCCCTCAGATGCAGTGATTTAGTCTTTTGTTCCTAGAATAAGGACACTTCTTAAAGAAGACAAAGAACGTAGTTGAGATAGAAGGACAATATTATCTCTACCTTTCCTGAAGTCTTCACTCCTTTCCACAGACTAAAGAAAAGAATGATTACCACCACCAAGAGGCAGAGGGAAAGTTGCCAGCGAGGCAAGCCAAGGTCATGGATTCCACGGCTTTCATGCAGGTGCAGAACTCCTCGCCTGCATACCAGATACACAGAAACAAAGCCAAGTCACTGAGGGAAAAGGGCTTATATCTATCCCATCCTGTGGGCAGTGGAAATGGATGCTGCACTGTGCTAGGAGCTGCTCTTCAGATACTGCTAGCAGTTAATGGGTTTTTTTGTGAAGCCATATGTTGTGCTGCTTCCCACATTTTGGAAGTGTCACTCATTATCTTCTAGTTTCCTTAAGCACTGAGCAGATGCCCAGAGAGGCTGAAGAATCTCTGTCCTTGGAAATTTTAAAAGTTGGCCAGTAAAGAGCCTGAATAGGCTGATTTACCTTTGAAGTTGTATTAGATATCCTTCAGCCATGTCTTTCAACTTAAATTGTTCTGTGACGCTAGATAAGCAAGCAGCTAGCTTACTTGCACCATGGGCAATGAGTTTCTGATGGAATGAGTTTCTGTGAGGCTGCAAATGGGGAAGTGGTTGGATAGGAAAAGCAACAATTGGTGAATTCAAAATGGACATAGAACTCTTTGTTGTTCATTGAAATAGTGGGAAAATAGCAGAAGAAATTCTGTTGCTTAGCAGAGTAGAGTAATTCTTTTGAGATCAACAAAAAGTTGTGTAGGAAAGAGTATCTCTCCAAGGACTGGTGATGTCCACCATTAGAATTGCCAAAACACATTGTGTGCACAAGACAGAGGGATGCGGGCGAATGTTGCCATGAATCTCCCTTCCTCCCATCGGTTCTGTGCTGTTGAGGGGTCGTGTTGCTTGATCAGATCTACATAGAAATATTTCACTTAAAGCTATATTTGCGAGGAGGAATGGCATTGTGTTTGGAGCCCTGTACCAGGAGGCAACTGCAAAGCTAACTCCTGGTTCTGGAACAGTTCTATGGGACGTTGGCTTGGGGATGCAATTTCTTAGTCTTTTAGTTTTCATTCAGAACAAGTAATTGTGATCTTTCTATCTTTCTCCTCATCTTTCTCTGTTGCCTTTATTTGCTATGTACTGCTTGAGTAAAATAGTTGACCTCGATCGACACTGTGATAACAGACTTAGCACTGTGATAATACAACTGAACTTGATGAATCCCCTATCAGTGGAGGACCTTGACATATACAAGATAACTGCATTTTGGAGAAACTGAAGTACTGAGTGTTTTGCTCTGTGTGACTTCAGACATGTGGACAGTAAAGCCTGAGGAGTCAATTCCTGCCCCACTAACTGTGCATACATTCTCTTACTAGCTAGCTGGTACTTCAGAGTTATCTTCAGCACTTGTCTTATCAGGCCAGAGATGAGTCAGATAGAACTCTGAGACACAGCCAATCTGTGTCAACTTAAATGGGGGAAAACTGAATAAGTCTCTATACTAATTTAACTGTAGAAACGTGCTGGGAAAATAAAGGCCCGCTGATACAACGCATTTAGTAATCTACAAGTGTAGCATATAATTCCATTTTCATACCAAGAGTATCTAGATGTAATTGGCCAAGAACTTAACAGTTCAGCTTCTGTAGCTCTGTTCTGTAGGAAATACTGTATTCTTGGACTGTTGCTATTATACATCCTCATTGAATAAAAGATTCTTTTTTAGAAGCATCGTCCTAAAATAAGCAGCTGCTCAATTCCTGTGGCACTATAAGGATAATTACATGTCAGGCGTTAAAAGGGTAATGACAGCGTGCCTGTGACATATATTCAAAGAACCTTCCTATTTAGAATGTACGAGATGAGTTTAACTCTTATTATACAAACTGTATAGCTAAGTGCTCAGCTGTTATCTGTGACAACAGCAAAATGGTGAGAGCTAGAATTTCTGATATCTCATTAGAAAAAAAAAACATTGAATGTAAACTGGTAGGTGGATCTAATCCAGCTTTTCCTTAGAAGGCAAATGGAAGCTATTCACATTTCTGCTAGTAGAGTGTGTTTTCATGGGGATCCAGAGGCGTGAATGGATTCTAGACAGAGATGCTTGATTCTGTTCTAAACTTACCAGTTTGAGCAGTGTTAAAAATATAGTTGGGAAGAGCATCACAGATTCAGATAAGCAAATTTGTACAGAGACTGGGAGAAATTGCGCAGTTTGTGCTGTCGCAGTTATGCTATTATCATTATTATGGTTGGATGCTATAAAAAAAGTCCTTTGGATTACAACGTGCAGATGAACCTTTAGAAAAACAGAACCTGACCTTGCACTCTTTGTGTCCATTTAACCTTTTATTCTTCCTGCCTAAACATTTTTCTGAATTTTAAAAGAGTGCTTCTGTTTGCTTTCCAAGGAGCAGCCTGCAGTGTCTTGCTGTTAAGAACACTTGACAGAACTGCCACTTCAAGTGTGAGATTCCCAGGATTTTCAGGAGCGTCTCCAAACCAGGAGTTCTGCTCCCTTAATCAGGATAAGGGATCATAAAATAGGAAGAGAAAAAATATTCTGCAGCCCATTGAAACAGCTGTGTAACTGAGCAGCTAAGCACGGAAATCTTCATAGACCATTGCTGTTTCTGAGATGGAATCCTGGTGGATTTTGCTTCCTCTTCCTTTACTTTTTTTTTTTTTCCTTTCTGACCTCTTAAGTCCTAGAAACTTTCTGAAAAATGCCTTTTCTGAAGGTTGCTGGGAAGCAATTCATGAATGTTTACCAATTAGAGGCTACATTTGGGTTCCAGCTGCAGCAAAAAGCAAGAGATCTAGTAGCTAGACTGTGATTTGGATTCAGATGTGCTGACATCTGAATATATGGAGAGGAAAAGCAGCAGTCAAACTATTAGACTAGACTTTCTTGGCTTGAAGTACAGCTTTGGAATGTACTTTGAAAAATGGTCATTTTTTGAACAAGGCAAATCTGAAAAGACTTTAGCATTCATCATGTTCATCAAAGTTACCATACATCAACAATGCTGCTGCAAATCCAGTTAGCAGCTCAATTATGCCACAATTAAACCTGTTTCCCGTTAAGTAGTACTCTATTTCAGGAGCAGTTGAGGCTGCTTTCACTCTGTTTCTCCTAAAGAACGTGGAGTGATAGATTCCTGACTGGCTCCTTTAGATTATACTCAGTCACTTCCCTTGCAATGACCACAAAGAAGAAAATGGTAAGTAAGTGGTACTTCAAGATTCTCCATTCATAAAGCTTAGAGCTTGAAATATCAAAGTTCAACCTGTTGATATTACAGCAGAATAATGCAAGATCCATTCCTATACTGAAGTTGTCTTACTGCAGGATTGTCCCATTTCCCAGTGCTGTAAAGATGTGTACATGTCACAGGCAAAGTAGGATCTCTTAAGTCCCTATATCAGGGAGCCAGGAGAGATGTAGCACTTGCTATCAGTTTTCTGTCATTTGCTTTAGGTTGTGCTCAAAATTACTGAGAATGGTTCTTGTTTCCTAAGTATAGAGATTTTGTCCATATATAATAAAATAAACTCAAAAGTCACGGCTCTGAGTCAGACACAAAGCAATAGTTAGAGGCAATAAGATATAAATAATTAATATTTTGCCTGAAGGTCTTTATTATTGGAAAAAAAAGGTGAAAATAGGTGAGAAAAATATGCAAAAAGGATGAGAAAATATTATGAGGATGGATGGAGAATAGACACTAAGAGATGAGCTGATGGAAAGTAGAACAGGGACATATTGTGCTGAGCTAAATAAAAGAGGAGCTAATAAGAAATTAATTTTATCAGCCATTTGTGCAAAGGAGCCTGATTTATGCCAAGACTACTTTCCATGTAAGGGACTGTAAATTACATCTGCAATGACTTTGAGACTGTAAATATAGGTCCCAAGAGTCTGTCTGCCTAATTGCAAGAGGAGCAGGAATATAAAATCATTTCAGTTTGAAGCTGCATTCAGAGTTTCTCTCTCCAGGAGATTTATGCTGGTCCTTCCTTTCCCAGTGCTCCCTGCTGGGAAGATTCCACAAGTCAGTCCATAACTCTGGCACCAGTTCTTGCCCTCCTTCCTCCCCACAATTAGCCAAAGGGAAGAAGTTCACCTCTACTGGAATCAGCAAACGACAAGCTATTTGCTGGATCACTGTTTCTCACTATGTCTTTGTGTAGCACTTGGTTGCTCTTTAATGTGGTGTCAAAGAGCCAACAGGAAGCCCATCTGTTGGGTGCTCACATATAAAACCTAGGTAACATAGGTTATTGGGGAGGCAGGGGGCAGCTGCTCAGACTCAGTAACTGGAGGAGTCACAACTCCAGTAACAGCTTGTGACGCAAACCTGAGTCCTAGCGTTCCCATGACTAAAGCCCTTTCCTTTGTCTCCACCTGAGAACTTACTCCTTAGGGATGGTCAAAGATGTGTATAGGGAAGGAATGACTTAAAAGAAAAAGAAATGCTAAGGGTCTTGGACTGAAAATTCTTCAATTTTTTTCACTTCAAAACATTAATCCATACCCAGAAAAGAGATGGTAAGAGCTCTAGGTGTTGAATTCTCCTAGATTTTGTCAGATTGGTTCTTGCTAACATTTTTCTAAGGAAACATTTTTGTAACTCATCCCTGGGGAGATTTCAGAGGCTGTTTTAGAAATTCAGTACATTTTTATCCAAAAAGGTGAAGTTAAAGATCTTGGAATAAGCCTTGCTTTTCCAATCCCAAATCAATCATAATTTTATTTTTCCAATACTAATATAACCACACAAATCTATGGGCTCAGACAATCTTTTTTAAAAAATGTAATGTAAAAATAATTTACTTAAATTTGATGTGATCCATAGAAGGGTCATTCATCCAAACAATTTCTAGATGGTTCGTATCAGATTTTAGATGGAAAAATGTAATCAGTTTATCTAACTAATTATTTAACTAACAGATTCACAGTCCAACAAACTGAAATTCTTCCAACAGAAAGCTTTTATTAGGAACAAATCTGTTTGATTTTAGTGTTTGTAAACATCGCTTCTGAGTGCAGAGTTGTCTCTGAGAAATGACTGCTAATCCTCAGTTTTGGAGGAGATGGCAAGTGAATGCAAAACAAATGTGCTATAGCTTTCAAAAATACAATTTAGG